CCATGCACCTTGCCAGAAAACATGTTCCCCCCACCAATGGTCAAACCGTATGGCAGAGAAAACCAGCTCCCCACACAGCCAAATTTGTCAAGAACCAACAACCGTACTGCAGTTGACACAATGTGGAGAATAAATCATGACCGAACTCCCGAGCCAATTATCTTTATGCTTTGTATTACCTAAATGAGTTTCTCATTTAAAAAAAAAAAAGGACATCGTATTTTTCGCTCTATAAGACGCACCTTTCGCTTTGTATTACCTAAATGAGTTTCTCATTAAAAAAAAAGGACATAATTATGAATCAATCGGGGTTTATTTTTTCAAAAAAGAGAGCAAAATTTTATTTGAGATCCACCCACCCACCCACCAGGAAATACTTGACAATTCGAACTCGTGAAGGGCACGGTAGCGAGTCTGAATTTGGGCAAGTATGTGTTTTCACGGCCCACGGATGGACCCCTTCAGTTCCCGAGGAGTCTCTCGCACACGCTGCTTATGCGGAGGTATGAGAAATCAGCTCTGTTAAGCCTGTCTCAAAAAGAAGGAACGATGGCCGAAGGACATGTGGAAGCACTATGCAAATGGGAAGCATTATCAATAAATACGCTCGTTTTGGCACTGCTACGTCCAACTGGAATGACATCACAGAAGAACTTGAATCCAATTCTTCTGGGCACGCTGCTGCCCCTCTAGCCTCAGTTTTGCATCTTTAGAATGGGAATTCAAATCTCACCCCGCCAAGCTTCTTGAATGACAGACTTTTGTTTTGTTTTTTTGCTTCAGTGAAAGCAATAGGCTGGCAATCAGCATGGGGGGGGGAGAAAAGCACACGCTGTCAGCCTTCGGAGACGATCTTGCACGCTTCGCACCTGTGTGAACTACTGTATGTGCATTATGTGAACAGGCCAGAATTTTTTGTCTATAAAGCAGCAAATATGCTCTGAAGCGAAGCGTACGTCCCCGTTCCTGAGGTTCTGTTACATTTTGGACCCAATGACGTGAGCGATGGTCTTCGTCGTTCCTGGTCTCCCCTTCTTCTCAAGTCTTGGTGGACAAGAGACTGTTGCTTTGTCTTTTAAACACACACCGTTGGAAATGTAAACAACTGCATTACATCACAGAGGGCTGCTCCAAGTTTGGGGATCCTGCACGCCAGCAGCAGGCAAGAAGATCAGAAAACCCTCCCAGGAATGCGCCAGCTTCGCTACTCTACCTCCTTCCTGTTCAGAATGTGGGCAGCCAGTTTGTGATGCAACCGGCAACGCCACGCATGACGCTGCAATGTCTTAACCTCCACGCTATAGATAAGATATTAATGCAGCCGTTCTGCACTCTCTCTCCCTCTCTCGCTCGCTCACTCTCCCGCCTCCACCACGAAAACTGCCTGCCCAATCAGCTTCCCGGCCGTTTATTTTTTTTTTTAAATGCACACAAAGTTCTATCTGAGTGGTCATTAGGATCAAGCAAAGCCTAAGATAATCAGAAGTTTGAATAAACAGGAGTGTTGCTTATGTAGAACAACTACGACAAGGGGTTACGCAGAGGGCATTCAGCAAATGCATATAATACAGAATGTGGAGGACAGATAGAGAGACTGCTGAATTTCGGGTAAGAGAAACTGGCCTGTACTTAACACAGAGCCAAATCGTGGAAAGCTTACAGGAACTGCAATGTTATGGCTTTCATGACAAAAGACAGAAATGGATTTAAAATTGTTTAAAAAGTTGCTGATCATTCAACCCAAATGCAGGGAATGAAAAGCAAATGGCGTAGTCATTTTTACTGGGCCATTTAACTTTAAAAATGGGGGGGGAGAGCAGGATCCTAAAAATTACAGAGGTCCTTTCTTTAGGTATGCATAATTCGGAGGAAATGCTTACCTGAAAACTGCATTAGAAATTTCTCTCTATCCTTGTGCAAACAGGGCCCAACATGCAAGCTTACACAGAGACTTGTGCATTTTATTTGAACCTCTGGAAGAATCTTGTGTGACCTGAAAGTCTGTTTCAACTAGCTCGGTTTTTATGACCAAAAAAAAGTTCTTTCTTTGCTTGTCGTATGTCTGCTGAAAAGGATCAACTGGAATACAAGATTTTAATACAGAAGCCACGGAAGTGCTACATGCATACAACCAAGGCAGAAAATTATATGTATGACGAGGCATAAATGGGAAGCATTCAGCATCAAAGCAAAATGTTGTCCAAATTCAAAATCCCACTGAACAATGAACTGGCAGTTTAGACTTTTCAGATGTTCAGCAGTCAGCAGTCATTCTAAGGGTGTGCATTATTTTGGCAGTGAAATCAGAGCACTAACTCATATATGTATGTGCACATGCGCACACGCGCGCACACACTAATGCCTCCAGCCTGCAGAAATACACCGATGCAAACGATACCCGAACCCCAAATGCAACCGCCGAAAAACATAAACCCTACAATCCCAAGCAATACAGTCCTTTTAAAATTTAGCAAATTTTGCACTTAGTTGATTCCGTCACTTTCTGCTTCAAGCCTACCAAAAGCTACCCTATCTGGCCACTAGCTAAATATATACAGTATCCCTATGCAACATATGTGAGAAAAAGCTGTGGATGATTACATGATGAGAAAAAGAAAACCGATGAAAGACTGCCCATTCAGATGACATGAAAAGCAACCATATACCGCTTATTCCCAATCAGGACTAAAGGGGGTGATGCCCATTTAAGAAGCCCGTGAATTAATGCCTTATTTAAGTTGTGTATGTATGGGAGGGGGGGAATGTTTGAATGGGAAGAATGAATACATGTGACTTACACGCACAGCTTCTCCTAATACCACAACATCCCTTGGGCCATTAAAACAATAGCACAAGTGATAGTTTATGCTAACCGTTCTGGCCCTTCCCGATGCTTATCAGAGCTGTGTCAATTTCGGGGCTGCTTATTTTTAAAGCAGTATTGAAAGCTAAAAGAAAAGCAGGCTTCTTTGCCATCTGGAATCCAACAACAAACACAGGCCTTATTAGCCCCGCAGAATTAACGGACCTCGCTACATTCATATTAACTTCAAACGTCTTTTTGCTTCTTTATGCTTTTTTAAAGTCACACACACACACACACAAAAAAACAGCAGCAGCACCCTGGAGCGTCTCTCAGACATTAAAACACGCACATGCACGCCAGACGGGAATTTACTCCAGGGGAATCGGTTCCGTTACTTTTATTTTACTTTATTTCCACACACACACACCCTTTTATTGGCTCCTCGTAGAGCCAAGCCACTGCCCGAAAAGCCAATTCGCCTCGGACATCTGTATGGGTGACATGCGGCGATGTAAAGCCACGGAAGAAAATCAAGATACATCTGTCAAAACCACATCAGAGACAAGAGACAGCGCGGGGCGAACATTTATCATTTGGCTGAGGAGGCCAGAACTGCAGTGGCGCGCAGCACCCCCCCCACCTCCCCTGTCAAACCAACCTTTTGAAAAACCCCAACATGCCCTTAAACTTTCCGAATAAGCAAGCCTGGTACGCCTCACAAACTGCCCTCTCTTTTCTGGCCTGGGCAGCCGAAATGGCATCTTAAAGTCAAGGTCTTCTGTGTCACTTCGCCAAGGGGGCTGCCTTTAATTACAACCCACACGGTGACAGCCAATATGGATTGGAGGCGACCGGCAGGGGAAACGGGAGGGTGGTGTGGGGGGGGCGGCGAAATGTTAACCCTTCCTCCTTCTCCACCTTGAGTTGGCAAGAAATAGTAATTAAAACGGGGGTGGGGAGTTGGGGGGGGAGAGAATCTGCAAATGCGTTCCAGCAGGCCTGGGTGGGGACGGCAGTTATAAGCAACATCATATGGAGCCGACGTGTTGCGTTTCTAGGGGTCTTGAGGTGGCCGACAACGAACCGCAGGCACAGATTGATGTGATTAGGCTGAGATTTTTAGCCGGATAAATGTTTCAGCCGTGGGGAGGGCTGCCGGGGAGGGGGGAGGGTGGGTGAGCTCCAGAGGGCTGGGCTTGGTCTTTGCTTTAACAAGCTGGCACTACACAAAGCACAAGCTGGCAAGTCAACTCCGCCCAACGGGGCAGAAAAACCAAGGGTTGAAAGTTGTGCGGGACTCCCTTACTGGATGGGGAAGAAAAAAAGGAAAACACAGGCCTCAGGAGCCCAGGAAATGCAAGCAGGGTTAAAGCCATGAACAAGAGAGGCAAAGCTGAGCTTGCTCCATGCTTGCTCCATGCTTCACAAAGGAATTGTGTCTGCGCGGCTGCCATAGCTGTAGGCCTCTGGTTCATGCATTAAACATGTAACCAGAGATATGAGCATCCCTAAACATGCCGGAGACGTGGGCTCGTCAGCAGCAGCCAATCAAGTGCCTCGGAGCGAGCATCTGCTGCATGGGCAGAGGACGTCCATCGGCCCGTCCCATTTGACGGACTGACCGCCACAACGGCCAGTGTAAACGCCACTGCAGCTACATGAAACCAGGGCCACATAGAGCGGAGCAAAGCCTAAGTGTTCAGCGCAGGCATCCTAGAGGCGAAAGGATGTTTTGGATTCCACACTCAGAATCTCTCTGGCAAGGTTTCATCCCGGGGGAGCGGTCCTCGAGAAAAAGTAACTTTTCTCGTCCCTCCGTGCCACTATGAGGAAGATCATACGAGCACACTGAAACACAAATGGGAAGTGCCAGGGGATGGGGGGCAGATCTATTCCACTTCAACACTCCCCATCTGGTGACCATATCAGTAAGTCAACGGGAAATACGTGGAATACAACAGACGTGAAAAGAGAGCAGATAGACACTGACTCAATGACATGGCACAAGTCTCCTGATTCTATAGACAGCTAAGAGGAATGTACAGATGCCCCAACTGTAAACAAAAATGATTCGCATACGATTCGTGCACGGGAAGAGCAAAATTTCGGGAAACGAAAGCACAGACTTCCAAGGGGTGGCCCCAGGTCTCACCACGGCTTCCCGCCCGCTTCCCCCCCTCCCACTGTGATTTACCTGCTATATGTTCCTGCTTAGGGCAAATTCCTCTAGATGACGTTGACAAACAGTCGTCGTCCTCGGGCGTGACCTGGATGCCCACCTCCACAGGATTGGACGCTTTTCTCAACTCGCTCGGCGAGGGCGAAGGGGGCTTATCCACAGCCTTCTCCAGGCAGAGAGCGCTGTTGCATTGTTTCCGTTTGTGCTCAATAAAGACAAGGATGTCCCCCAAAGGGAAGTTCATCTGACACTGGCCACAGGTGAGGAGATCATGGTCCCCTTCCGGAGCTCCTAGCGTACCGTGATCCGGTTCGTCGTCCGTAAGAATGGCTTCAATCGGTTCGGCTGCAATCGGGGGAATAAAAAAATATATATAGGACCTCCGTCAAGAATCTCAGACAACTGGAAGACGCCTCAACTGAGAAAGGAAGAAGAACGGGGAGGTGGCCCACAATGGGACAAGCCTTCGTGATCTCTCACCCCTCGCCTAGCAGCACCCTTGAAAGTAAAAAAAGGGAATCCACCACATGTTATTACCAGCAAGAGACACTCAACATGATTGGGACTCCTCTCTATATTTTTTTAGAAAGGAAACACAACCCCATATTAAAGTTTTCAAAGGATTATTATTACTATTCCAAAGACAAACAAGATTAAGCCAGTCGGATCCCAACCGCAAGATGGCCAAAAGAGCGTTCTTTTTATAATGCATTGTCATTCAACAGGAAAATGAATTTTCCAGTGATGTCAAGCAGTTCCCTCTCAAGGAAAAGCAGTTATATTCATAAGGTATATTCATACGATCTCTCTCTTTTTTTAAAAAAAGAGGGCCTAGAAAAATCTGATTCAAAATTAAAACATGGAGGAGCATTTTCTTAACCTCTCGAAAAGTCAGACTACGAAAGCCGATGCACAGCATCTAAACAGCCCTGAGCAAGCTATTCTGCTTTGCAACAGAATTTCTGTATACTAGTCTCTAAAACCACCAAGTTAACCCAAAAGGGGGGAAAAGGGGATTTAATAAATCATCCAGTTCTTTTTCTTCCCCTATTTAGTGCGTTTTTTTTGCTGGTGACCACTGACTTCTTTAACCAACACACCCAGGAAATAAAGGCTATGCATATGGTATTATACACACAGATAACATGCACACACCATTTAATGGGAAAAAAATTTAATTGCTATTTGAGGGAAATTATGTGCTTCTGAAGATCTAAGAAAATAAGCCAACTGGACTGAGGTGTGGTTTTCCCCCTCTCATTCCATTCTACAGGAAAGCAACGTTTCAACCATTCAGGGCCCATGGCCATTGGCAGTCCGACCTTCATGAGGGGAAAAACCTAAATAAATCCTAGCTTTCGTAACTAGAACGGTCACACCTTTCTCCAAATTTGAAGCACCTTTCGAGGATTGATTGATTTTTGGAACAGGTGCCAGAAAGCTTGATTAAGAGACTAGTTTCTATACGCACCATAGCCAGTTGATAATTTAGCAAGGCAGCCATATTAGCAAGGTGGGTGTTTCACGGAGTTACTTTCCTGATGAATTTATCTCGGGGCAAATAAAAATAAATGTTAAAAAAAAAACACCAAGAAGCCATGAGGATTCCAGAGAGACTTGTAAAGCAAAGGAGAAGGGGGCTGGGTCAGTGCTGCCCGAATAGGACTTCGGAATGAACACAAAACCACATTCTTATAAAATATCAGATGCTCTCGGCTAAGAGAAGTGTGGCACGCTACAACACCTCAACAGTTAATCAGCCTGACCTTCTTTAGCACGCGGCCAATTTCACATTTAATGAACTTAAAGCCACAGAGAATCAAAAAATAGATTTTAATTTGACTGCACCATATTGGAACAGATTTTTGATAAAAGTGCAAAAAAAAAAAAAAAAACAACCAACCAACCCAGGATACTCAGGTTAAAATTATTTTGGTCCTAGCGAGGCAGAGCGTTAGGAAAAGGAGAGGTCTAGAGAAATTTCCAAACGCGCAGAATAACGTAAGGTGTTCAAAGATGGGAGTTTGTGTGCCTTGACTCAAAACAGAACCCTTTTCTCATTTCTACGCACGGTGTATCATTTTTTTTCTATCTGTCTCTCTCTCTCCACGAGGACTCGTGATTTAAGGGAAGGCAAGTTTATACAAATATAAGCATTGCAATCTTATGCTGAAGAAATCATCAGCACATGGAGGATTCCCCCCACCCTCAACTATAGATAACATACATGCTGCTATGTCTCTTTCAGTGCTTTGGAGTCCGGAAGAGAAAGAAAAGATGATAAACTCAAGCTTGTTTCTACAAAATAGGCAATTCCCCTCCCCAAAAAAAAAATTGGGAAGAGGGAATTATCAGGTTGCATTTTAACAATCTGACAGGAGGAAACACTCTCTGCACCCATATATTCCTCCCCACAACATACTTGTGTGTGTGTGTGTGTGTGCCCGCCTATGCACATGCACATACGCACACGTGTCTGCATGTTTTTGTTTGTTCCCATGCAAAGTTTGGAATGCAGCCCAAGCAGCAAAACATGAGAAGAATGCAATACTGTAGTTCTTGAAAGGGACTCTACTTAGTATTTAGGCAAATGATAATACAGTATTTTCGACCTGATAGGTTTGTTAAATCAATTAATGTAGGTAAGCAAGGCAAAAACATCACCTTCTTCCAGGCAGTTAGAAGAATGGTTTTAAAATAAGAAGAGAGAGAAATTTCTTGCAAAGCCTTATGAAATCAGGTTGGATTCTCATTAAAAAAAAAAACCCAGCAAATCAAGAAGGAATTCCAAAGCGTTGTTGATTACGCCTCTACATTTCAGCCAATTAATTTTATAGGAGGCAAAGTTCTTGAAAATAACAAGATATTCAAATGTGTGATAATAAAACCTGTACCCTCCATGGTTCTTCAGTGCACTTAACATTAATGATTGCTAATTAAGAAGAATGATAGGGCAAATGTATGAAAAAGGACTGGCAGACCAAATTCTTTTTATTTTTTAAGGTTTGCCAAGACAGAAAATGCAAAGGCAAAACAGAATTCCCAGTATTTTTCCGCAGGTCACACAGAGATCTAATTTATAATTAAAATAAATTAATATGGGCAGTATAAAAATGAAATAAATAAATCACAAATATATTATTATTATTATCATCATTGTCATTGTCTTCATCATCATTGCTGCTGCTGCCGCTTGGCATTATTATATTTTGGTTTTCATTCAGTAGCCACTACTAGCAATTTTATTATGTGCATTTTGAGTTTTCTTATCAGATCAATGGACCCCCCTTAGAAAAAAAATATCAGATACTCATGGTCAAACTTGATTAAGATCAACCTAGAACAAAGAGGTTGGTGAGAGCTAAATTTCAAAATGAGTATTGTAGAGAGATTTGCACTTATTTTCAAGTGCAAGAGGAAAACAGAAAAAAGAGCAGATCGGGGTTTTTTTACAAATTAACATTATTTTCAGGATTTACCAAGGAAGGACTCTCAGCGACACACAGGCTGAATGCAAGCCAAACACACATGCACCCCAAATTATAATAACACAAATAGTAATGACAATATAAAAAATTATAATTACAAAAGGCAAAAAACGTTCCAGAAATTCAGTTTTGGGGTTTTTTTGCCTCTAGGATTAAATTACTGGGAGAAAAATGAAAGCCAATGGGGAGCGAAAGATGATGATTTCAAAAGCACAAGAGGAGAGAGCTCTGTAATGTTTGAGCAAATGGAGATTTGAAAGCAAAACAGGGCAGGAAACAAACACAATGGAAGTGTGGAAGACGCTTAAGCAGGGAACCCTCTCCAAACACGTGCAAGAGAAGGTATTTCCTCTCCCCACACTTTTGGATCCACTTTTAAAAAAAAAAAAATTCTGATTTTCAAAATAGTCCACTTTCAGACGGGGGTGTGCAAAGAAATAACACATCGCCCCTAATGCAATCCAGAGCAAAAGCACTTTGGAAATCAAACCGAGGAACAGGGGGGGAAAGTATCAGCCAAGAAATGAGCCAGAATTTTTGGCTTCTTTGGCAGAACTTTTTTTTTAAATCCTTTTAGATGCTTCTAAAGATGTGACAACCCACTGCTAACATATAAATATCTGATACGGAAAGGGGCAGTTTTTCTGTCTCTGGATGAGTATCAGACATGAAGGTTGCATTTTTGAAAAAATGTCTTAAGAACATGCAAAACCGAGGGTTGATTCTTTCCGAAGCATTGGGGGGGGGTTGTTTCTTCTAAAGCTGCTTCTTCCCAATGACCGGGAAAAGCGAAGAATATTACAAGACTTTAAAAAATAATAATAATAAAGGCAACCAAGGGGGGGTCCATCAAGGAGGACATACCGGTGTTTTAAATGCTTTCATCAGACTTAATGCAAGATTAAAAACAAAGAAAGGCTGAATCATGGGAGAGCATGGGGAGGGGGGGTCAAAAAAATAAAAATAAATTCTCAAACTCGCTCGCTCGCTCCCTCCCCACACACACCACCTTCGCACCTACAGTATTTCCTTTTTCCCAATGAAAAAAATATATACAGAAAATTAAAAGATGCCAGGGAAAAACTGATCAGCCAAGTTCCAAGGGCTTTTTTGATCTCACTCTGCCTCCTAGTGGCTGAAAGTCGCATTTCTTAGCCAAAAAAGGGGGGTTGCAAAAAACAAACCAAGGGGCAAATATTTTAACCCAATTCTCATGCAAACGTGCTTCCCCCCAACACAGATCCTTCCCCCCCTTCTGCGCCCAAATACTCCAAAATGGGGATAAAAGGAGGGGGATCAAACTTGCCTGCCAAGTCTACTAACCCCCTAACCTTACGCTTGAACACCTAACTCGAACAAACACGCATACACACGTGCAAACTTAACCCGCGGAGGCTTTGAAGCTTTTGTTGTGCCCTTTAACTGGCAAGTTTTCTGGGGATTCGGGGAGAGCAGGAGGGGAGAGGGTGCCGTGGGGAATTTTGGTCGCCCCACTCCCAAAAAAAGAGGAACAATTTTTAAAAAATGCAATTTATTTCTTCTTCCATCCTGGTGGCAGGGTTTGAGATAAAAAAGAGGCCAAAACTAGGTTATCCGTTTGGCCGAAGGGGCGGGCGAGGAAAGGCGCCTCTCGCAACGTGGTTGGAGGAGCGTGGCCGTTATGTCGCAACAACACAACAGCCCGTTTTTTTGTGTTTTGCAAAACAAGAAAAAAAAAGAGAGCAAAACATAAAGCAGGTCAGAAATCAAGCCGGAAAAAGGCAAGATGGGGGGGGAAGGGAGAGAGAAATAAGGATCTTTTTTATTAAGACAACTTTAACCCACGCAAACAGGGCGGAGGCGCTTTCATTTCTGGGGACAGGACTTTCACTTCTCAACGTGCAGGCTGCAAAAGCGGGACTTTTTGCAGCGGTTGTTGTGGGGGGAGAAAGAGATGGCGTTTGGGGGGGCTTGCAAATGGCCAAACTTTTTGCAAAAGCTGGGCATGCACTCGACCTTGCAAATTCAAGGAAGCGAGGGCAAACGGGAGCCCCGGGAAAGCATGCACGCACCCAGTTCTTGCAAGCTTTCTTTTCTTGCATTCTTTTTTTTTCTTTTGCAAACAGCGCTCGTGCATTTCACCTCCTCTCCCCTCCCTCTTTCTCTCTCTCTCCCTCCCCAACCACGACCCGCCCGCCTCCGGCCAGCGACCTCAAGTCGGGACTAGACTTCCCTTTTGTGTTTGCAAGCCAGCCCGGCTCCCCCCGAGCTTTTGTGCACGGCTCGCCCGGGAGGCGGCCAGACCAAGCCTTGCAAAGCAGCAGAAGAAAAACACGAGAAGGAAGCTTTGCTGTGCACGGCGTCTGCATCTATACGTGTATATATATATATTTTTAAAAAAAATCTGCATGCACATGAAAAAGAGCACCGAAATAAAATTTAAAAAAATCAGGAGCTGATGAGAGGTGTTGCAAATCATTCGAAGAGCCTCCTTTTGCAAAAGCAAAAATAATGTGCAAAGCTCGCCTGGAGAGGAGAAGAGACAGAGTGTGTGTGTGTCTCTGTGTGTCGTTCCTCGGCTTTCAATTCATTCCTGCCTCTCTCTCTCTC